AAAATAACCACATTTTATTCTGAAGGCAACATTGCTCAATTTCCGGTTGTAGTCTCTTTCGTCCTGTTGATCGCAGCGAAAAACCGCATGCCGGACAACTGGACTATACCAACTGTAGCACAGGAAGAATGTACCCTTAAACACTAGGCCAAATAATCTGTCGAAGGCGTATAAAACGTGAAACAATACATTTTATTCACCGTAAGGCCCCTCTTCACGGTTCTAGCCGCAGTAACAGGGCAGAAGTCCTCTTAAGTCTTGACGACCTTAAAAGGTTTGATCCATCAGCAGCTGAAATCATCCTTGCTGCCCGGAACGAGATGAGTCGTCATAATGTGTAATTACGGTAATTTTTTAACTTCACAAACAAGATACCCTTAAAGCCTAATATTAATTTCATAAATAGGTTTTATATCCTTGGAAGACTATTAACAAAAATTATGAATAGACAAAATATCCTATATAGGCTACATTCCTTAGGGATATACTACCTAAGCACTAAATGTTGGACAGTAGATGCTTAAATCATCTTTCCCATGTATAAACTGTGACATTGTTTGGCATCAGTTGCCTGTATGCTGCTCATATTGTTGATGACAAGCTGGTTAATAGTTGGTATGACTCTTCCTGCCAGTGCAAAAGACAGAGGAGGTCAGTCTTCCAGGAGGAAATCTGCGGCTCAGTTTTATCTGATAAAAAGATAAGAAGCAGGAGGGCGGAAAAAAATCCAAAACATCTCTAGGGAAAAAACTCTAATCCAGTATTAAACACTGTTTAAGTGTCAATATGACAACTTCTCTCATAGCTGAAGATAGAGAAGCAAAAAGTGTCTTCTTCAGGGTTGAGGAGTAGATTCATTCATTTTTTACAAGAGTAACATTTTATAAATAGTCCATCTAGAATCACACCCACTACCCTTGTTTTGGGTCTTTGGATGAAAATTCTGATCAATTATAGATGAGGTCATCTGTGTTCATCATATTTTTTTACTTGAATCTGCAGGACATAAAGGAGGGCACTGAGCACAAATATGTGTTAAAGAAACATAACAAAAATTCCCTGAACGCTCATGTTGAGACTCTTTAGAGCAGGACAGATAATTTATCATGTTAGAGCTATACTAAATGCTAAATGTATGTGAGCGTTACCACGGAGATAAAATATGCATGACCCACTTAGCTTGGTGAAGACTTCATAGACTTCAGGACTCAAAGCACTTGGGTTGTGGCTGATGATAGAGACTACTCCACCAGATCATTCACTGTGGTTGGTCCACTTTTTAATCTCTTTCTATATACATATATATACACATATATATATACACGGTATATATGTATGTGTATATACTACACATATAAATATATATATCTAAACTTCAGCTGATCTTCTGTTTAAATTATTCCTTTAAACATACATGGAGGCTAAAGATGTTCTGCCTGTGATGTGCTGAAACACTGCTAATCAATCCACTGGGTGCCATGCCACACATGAAAGGGGGAAGAGAAGCAGCTCCATTGGATCTGAACTATTGGTGCCTGTGAGGGAGCGAAAGGCTCCATTGTTGAGTCTGGAGTCTCTTTTAAAAAATTATTTGTTGATGCAGTAATGGGATTTGGAAACACAAAGGCAGGAAATGCAATACAGCAGCATGCAGCGCTCAATAAACCTCGCCTATCTTGTTCATCTGCAGGAGAACATTTTATCATTTATCATTTTATCTCTTTCTCAACACAGTCTACGTGCATATACATATTACAGTATTTGTTGCTGCGTTTCCATATCTACCACTACATATCTTGTATTTTCAATCTATCCTTCCAGAAAAACCAGCACCACATTGAGAGGTGCTTGATGACGCTGATCACATTGTAAACGTATTGTTTATGTCATGTGTTGTAGGAGGGAAGGGGGGGGGGGGGATTTTCATGGTTATAACCTTAAAATAAATAAATGACCTAATTTATCAGATTGCATCTTGATCAGTGAAGGGACTCTTTGTAGCACTGGCGATGGTATTCAGACACAGATGTAACGATAAACAGACCACAGCTAAATCACAGCCGCACTCTTTATAATAAGGACACATAAAATAACAAGACTGAGAGGTTCTTTGAGGCTGTGCTTTGAGCTAAATGGTAACATGCTCACAATGACAAAGCTAACATTCAGTTGTGTAGGTATAATGTTTCTCATGGTCACACTCTTAGTTTATCACCATAGCCAGCTAACATTTGCTAATCTAACACAGCTGAGGCTGATGGGAATGTCATTAGTTTTACAGGTATTTGATCATTAACCAAAGGAAATGTTTGACCTTACTATGGTGTTCGATAAAAAAATATTGTACCGCCAAATCTCAACTGGAGGGATACACAAATGTCTATACAAAATTTCACGGCAATTTATCTGTTAGTTGTTGAGTTATTTCAGTCTGGCAGTGGACTGACCGACTAACCCACATCATCATCCCCAAAGCCACGCCGCTAGCATCGCAGAAAAACTAAATATCCATGTTTTTCTTGTATTATTTCATTATACCATCATGTTCTGATTCTCAGGGACTCCATAAATACATCGTGTTTCTTTAAATGTTTTATGCAAAACTCACGAAATTACAGCAGAACAAATTGTGCCTGCAATCCACTGATGTACTGCCAAGCAACAGATATAAGCTCAACTTAACATGATTAGTTCTGATGCAGGCAGCATCACTTTAGCAAGACAAATTAGTTTGATTGGATCCCTCAGACTATTACAGGTATCATTTAGAGAGAGATCTAACCTAATACCAATACTAGATAGACCAATTAAATGCATGAATAAAGTCAGATTTTTAATCAGCGAAGATCGATGAGCAACTTGCATCCTCAAACTTTTCTTACAGCAAAGAGCTTTTTAAACAAGACTTCCTTTGAAGGAGAGCATGTTCGTACTCGCCTGCACCTGACTAAGACATGGGGTGGTTCAGAGACCCTCCCATAAACCCACAGAGCCATGTAGTTAATTGCCCCTCCTAGACAAAAGCACTATAAAAAGCCTGCAGTTACACTTTAAACATTCGTCTGGATCCTCCCTGCGTGTTTGACCAAAGGGGAGAGCACATTTCTGTCTGCAAAAGGGAGTTATAAAATGCTCTTTTCTTTGTTAAACCTCCAAGTCCACAATGGTTTGGTTTTACAGGGTGAGTACACATATTTGGAGAGCACACTGCTGAAGTCAGAGTCTGAATATAACCACAGCTGCTTCAGTGTGGGAGTCAAGCATGTCTGCAGTTGGTGTGGTTATCGAAAGCAGAGCTGGGGGAAAATCTCCAACTGGTTTCCTTGCAAGCAGATGACACTGCGATTTAAACACGATCACATCCTTTGTCTTTGCAGATGGAAATAAGCATGAGGTTTAAATAACAACTCTTTGGCACCATGTTATTGTTTTAGTCAGAATATCTCTCCATGCATTAATTTCCATGTCAGCAGCTGCATCAGGGAAACACAAAATGCCACGTCAATGTTTGAAACTGCTTTCCAGAGTCAAAATTTGTCTTAAAGGAAAAATTCGACATTTTTGGAAATAATGCTTATTCGGTTTTCTGAGGGTTAGATGAGAGAACTGATACCACTTTCAAGTCTGTATGGGAAATATGAAGCAACAGCAAGCAGGTGGTTAGCTTAGCTTAGCATGAAGACTGGAATCGCTAACACAGCTAACCTGGCTCTGTCCACAGGTAACAAACCCTACCAACACCTCTAAAACTCACTAATTAACATGTTGTATCTTGTTTGTTTGATCTGTAGCGTAGAAATGACAATTTGCGGTAGGAAGTTACTGTACCTGGCCAAGAAAAAGTAGTACTTTTATTATTACTTTGTCCTTTTAACACTTCTTGTACAGAGTAAACAATCAAATTATAATGTGTTAATTAGTGAGCTTTCGGAAATGCTGGGAGGTTGAATCTGTTCATGTTGGACAGAGACAATACGTTTCTCCTTGTTTCCCGTCTTTATGATAAGCTAACCAGCTGCTGGCTTTAGCCTTATACTTAAATCTGCAATAACTGCTTTTTGCCCATTTGGCATCAGTAGAAACAAGACGTGAACAAACCATTGACCTTTTAAGTTAATATGTCAAACTATGAGGAAATATTTGCTTACTTAGACATCCAGCAGATAGAAAGCAAGATTAACATTAATTTGGAGTCCGGCCACCTGATGAAAGTCCAATATTCACTATTGGACTATTGGACTGCAGCAGGCAGCGGCAGAAAACTATGCTATTAGAGCGGTGAGAGTAAATCAAAACAGTAAAATTGCTAAACAATGACCTGAAACTCACTATTAATGTCCGCAAAGTTGAGTGCAGCTGCAGATTCAGGAGATTATCTGTGCAGTTGTTATGAAAATATAGATTTTAAATATGGGCGTGGTATCAATCTTCTGATCTAACTTGACACCAGAAAGAAAACTAGCATATGCAATTTCCCAGAATTTCAAACTATATCTTACAGACAACATAGAAGTGTTGTAGCCGCTATTCCAACAATATAACATCTGATAAAGGGAGTGACTGATGTGTCCATTTGTCTTTCGGGTTAAACACCATCCCTGTCCCATGCCCAGTCAGTCACATTGCTCACATACACAGTCACACTCCACCCCTCTGCCTGCACTCTAGCAGTTGGCACAGTGGTGTCATATCAAGCTCTCAGCTGTTACTGTGGCGTACCATGGACTGGACCAGCAGCTGATTGAGGTGGAAATAAAACATATGGCTTTTGGCATTCACTTACATCACAACTTTGGATAAAAAGATCTACTGTAAATGATTCATCTTATCCAAAATATCTTACTTACAACAGTCTTACATCTCATTGGCCTGTCAGCATAGAAATAGAGATTAAATGGTTGCAAACTTTTAATGTTCATCCTTTTTTTCAACAAATACTGGTCTAAAAAAAGTCAGAGACATATGACCCCATGTACATTTAAACATAGAGAGACAAATAGTATCTTGCAGAGAAGCATTTTATTATAGAACACAGTTCATGTGTGTGAAAAATCTGCAGTGCAGTTTTCCTTGAAAGCTTCAAACAGGAATCCAGACTCTGGAGTCATTGTAAAAGAAGGACTGCTTTGGCAAAATCTGAGGATCATAGAAACCTGGAAAGAGAGAGAGAAAGTTTAACTTAATGCTTTCATACTTGCAAACATAACAGCAACTGAAATACTCTAAATACTATACTATAGCCAGACAAAGCAATGTCAGATAAATGAGCTACTCTCATCAAAAATGAATCCTGCCCTGCCTGCATGATTTGCCTGCATGGGGTTGGTGACGGCGCAATGGATAAGATGCTTGCCTTTGGTGTGAGACCCGGGTTCAATCCCCCACTGTGACCAATCCACCATTGTGTCCCTGAGCAAGACACTTAACCCCTCATTGCTCCAGAGGTGTGTGACCTCTGACATGTATAGCAATTGTAAGTCGCTTTGGATAAAAGCGTGAGCTAAATCTAATGATTTCCAGTTTTGTCTGAAAGTTTAAATCATGTTGAACTTTATATAATAGGGCAGCAACCAGTTGCAGGGCAGATACTCTTCTTTCTTGATTCAGGCGGTAAGAGGCAGAGAGGAATGTTTACTGAACAAGAACTGTGGACTTTTTTCAAATCCTAAAAGTCAGGGGAAATCCGTGTATAAATGTGTCACAGCTCAGTGTAGGTTGGGAATTTACCCACTCAGCTCCAGGATAGTAAAATGAAGGTTTGTGCTACTTGTGTTAATCTACCTTTCAATGTCAGTTCAAGACATGCATATATTGCTTTCTATTTCTTTTTCAGGATAACCACAGCTTTTTAAAAATGGAGAAAGATTTCATGCAAATAGATGGACTATACCCATGTAGAATTTAGGTTTGACTAGTCAAACGTGAGAGCTCATTATGTAACAGTAATTCAACTATCCAGTGTAATCTGTGAGGTTTGTGGGCTTAGCACACCATCATAACCAATAAATAATAGAGGTGAAAGTACAACAAAGTAACGTACAGCTATTACTCCAGTCAACCCTTACTAACCTGTCAGACTTTATACTGTAGGTGTCAAGGGTCAAAACCTAGAATGTAATTTTGTTTTACAAAAGCATCATAACCTCTTAATAATATAGGTAAACACTGAGGTCTTCCTCAACTTCCCTGATATTATATAGTTTTACACAACTATACTTACTATGTACTTGTTTCTTCAAAAAGAACACAGGTTTAAAGGAAACATCCTAAGCAGATGTCAGGGGTTACTTTATGATGAAATGTTGTCATTCAATTTTTATGTGCACCTACTTTTCCTTACCCTGCCTTATTTATATCTTCTTAAGTCAGCAATTTCCTGCATTTACCACACTCAATTTCAACAGCCCTGAGAGTAGGAATGCAAATTTATTGCAAACCTAATCTCATCCCAATTGATTTATTTAAAGATGTACAAATGAGCATGTGACAACAATCAGCAAAGTAGTGTGAAGACCACCCCACTGGAGACGTCTATGAAGATTCTCAGTCATACAGGTCATAGTTATCCAAGGTTAAAGTTATAAAGGTTAAAATCAAGGGCACTTTTTTTCTTTTATTATGGAAAGATAACACAACCTAGTGTTTATTGTTCATTGTGTTTTAGGGAGCGAAAAGCTTTTCTGTAGCTGCACTAGAAATATCCAGACATCACATCATCTATATTTATGTCGCTATTCACAGAAATAAGAAAAATACATAACAACAATCAAAATGTTTTGTTTTATGTAGTAGATTTTTAGACATTACCTGGACCTGGGCTCATGTTGCCCCGTGAGATTCGAGGTATTCTTTCAGTTCTGGATGCAAATGCAGCAGTGGGCATGAGATGCTTAGACAGGCATTTATAATCCCCTATGTCATACTGCCCAGGGCCTGGCAAGGGAGGGCCCTTAGGAACAATCAGGGGAGGTGCTGATATTGCCAAATAATATCCCCGCCTTCAAACACAGTTAACAGAATTTAAATTTTTAGACTATTGAAAAGAAACAACTGGGGAACACATACCCCCATCCATAAATGTTGTGTTTACTCACGGCAGGATGGTCCTCTTCACTGGTGCAGGGGTCTGATGGGGACTGTAGGCTCCTGGGCCTGGCACATGGTTGTCCACTGGAGCAGGGATTCTCTGGGTTTTTGATTTGAAGGGGGACAAAACTGCCTTGGAGCCATGCTGGATTACCATGTTGTTCACTTCGTAGTGGCCTTTAACAAATTTATGATGCAAGATCAAAACTAAGATAAACACCATTTAGAATAAAAAGATGAAACACAAATAAAACACTATAAAATGAGATTATGCGTGACTTTACAAAGAGGACTTACATGGTGATGGCACATTTTTGTTTGGGTAAAAAGTGTTGCGTCCAGTTTTCGACAGGAAAGCTGCTGTACCAACTACTGAGGACAATCTCTCTCTGCTACTACAACTGACCTGTCCATACAGAAGAAACAAAAAGCTACACATTATCTACAGGATGCACAGCACAGTCTCAGAAGAGTCTTGAAAAGTAACTGGCATTATTCACATACATACATCATACTGATTTGGGGCTGGAGTCTTGTGTTTCGGACCATCCAGCTGCACAGCCACAGGCAACCTGAACACCCTGGAGACTCCACTGTTGAAGTCATACTTGTTTGTGAAGGAGCTCGGCAGGTTGTATGCATTTGGTCCTGGGATGCTTCTCTGCGGGTTACTGGAAGCCCTGGCAGCCTATTGAAGAGGATGACATTTAAATGCTCTTGCTGGTATTAAAAAATATTTGGTGTATTCACAGGCAATCCGCAGAGCCTAAACTCAGCTTGGGGCAACAACTCCCACTGAGGTCATGTCATCTTTATTTTGGCAGTTTTAGCAACTATGGGGCATTTATATTCTACAATTAGCTATACTAAGTCTGTCTAGTTTACTGACGGTCTAAAGACACAAGCTCTGAGGCTGTAGCACAGAAATGCTTTGAGCTTGCATGGCAACAAGCTCAAGATGACAATGTTAAAATGCTGATGTTTAGCAGGTATGATGTTTAATGTATTACTCTTTAGTTTGGCATGTTAGCATGCGAACATTGGCTAATTAGCAAAACCAAAGCATTGACACATTAAATATTTTACCTGATGATGGCACTAGATGAAAAATTCAGGGATCACCAAAGTTATTATAATTCATCAAATGGGGAACATGAATAGGTGTACCAAATTTCATTCAGTGGTTGTCAAGACATTTAATTCAAAACCACAAAGGTCAACCTCATAATGGCGCTACAGGAAAAGCCAGGGGATCACCAACATCTATATATATTCATCCTCTAGGGATCATGGATGTCTGTACCAAATTTCATTCATCAAAGATTTACATAAATTTAAATTACCTTGAATTAAGTGAAATGAATAAAGTGTGCCTGAAATCAGTGCTGATGGCTTAGAGACCTGACCTTGGACGCAACAAAGCCTGTGGTGCCTTTCTTTGAGAAGGAAGGACTTTTCACTTCAGCGCTGGAGATACAGCCATAGCTGCCTGGTCCTGGATTTTCATTCTGAAACAAATGCACATCATCACCATGTTTATGTTGCATTGCTATTTTATTTGGCTGATGTAGTGACGTTGGGAGAATCAGAATCAGAAATACTTTATTGATCCCCAAGGGGAAATTCTTGTGTCACAGTTGCACACATAGCACATCAAGGCATATGGGAAGAGAAATAATAATAGAAAGTTGTTCAGCAAAGAAATATGCATATAACAAGTATAAAGGAGTGTGGATATATATTTACATTACTAACAGCATTTTAATGATGAACAGTAGTGGTAATAATGAGTACTGCAGGGTTGATGTGGAATGGACAAATCATTACAAATCCTTAAAAACTGCTGTATTAGGACAGAGTAACCAGAGTATTGAAGCAGAGACTATTGCACATTGAATATTAACAGTAAACACTCAACATCAGTTGCAGTCAAATTCCCTACCAGACAGACTTGTGAAGGGAATCTCTTAGCTTTTGATGAAAATCCCTTCTTCTCTTGATTTGTTATCACCACTTTTTGGTATTTCGTTGGTATTGAAGATGAAACGGTGTAAGCCGGGATCTTTTCTGCTTTAATCAAAAGAAACGTTAGGTCACATTTTATATATTTTTTAAGCTAAACAATGACATTAAGTTTTCACTTGGACTCACTTTTCGTTAATTCTCGGTATATGTTGCCCATGGTTCAGCTGGATGTCACGAAGAAAAGTTAATTCAATAAATCTGAAGCCATTTACAAACCGCAGTGTCCTCACAGATTATGTTGATATGGCGACGTAAAAACAGAGTTCGATCTGACGCCATGTTGTGATACTTTAGCGCCACCTGTCGGCAAAATGGCGGTTTATCTGCCGCTTTGTCCCAACAACCCGCCTCTGTTTTGTTTCTAGAAACTAGCTTCATCCATCATGGCGATGCATGCGAAGGCGACTCCGCCACAGATCCCGGACACCCGCCGGGAGCTGGCTGAACTGGTGAAGAGGAAACAAGAACTCGCTGTAAGTTCATGTCGCAGAAAAATAGATAAAATCGGCATTTAGTGTTTTGCCATTTAGAATTACAGATAACTGTAACTTTGTCATTTGCTAGCCGAGGCCTTACTAAGTGCTAAGCTAACGATAGCAGTTGCTGCTTCTGCTCAGTACATTCCAGTGACGTTAGTGCTAGCAGCTCCTGCTAACTAGGCTAGCTAGCTAATATTAAGACAACAATGTAGAGAGCGTAATGTTATCAGATACTATCTAACTGTCTAATGGTGGCTCTGCTAGTAATGTTTAATTACAACCCTCAAGCGTAGCGGTTTTATTTTACCGATTTCAAAAATGGCATTTTTGGCGCTCACTGGTATTGCTGCAGCGTTGTTGGCTGGAATGCTAGCAAGTTAGCATCGCTACATTTTTAGCCACTGCCCGGTTTGGACAAGTTCTCGCGTTATGTTAGCTTTGTAGCAGCGTTAACTATCCATGGTTAGTGTAGCTAGCGATCTCATATTCTGGCTAAAACATTTGGGGCAGCATTGTAAGGGGGGAAATGCATGGAGTCAAAATAAGTCACGTAGAAACAAGATGTCGGTTTAAATAATTGTTAGTTTAACGTTATAGTAACGTTAGTTGTTTCTCCCTTCTCCTCTCTATCCTGCTTGCAAACTAAGGCAACTCCTCTGTCACCAAAATCACCCTGAAGTCAAATCAAGAGACTGACAAACATCATACTCTGGGCGCAGGATTTACTCCTTTAACTCAGTTCTTTTAACTTTAATCTAATTTCTTCAATATCATAGGAGACGCTGGTGAACTTGGAAAGACAAATATATGCATTTGAAGGCAGCTACCTAGAAGACACCCAGATGTATGGTAACATCATCAGAGGATGGGACCGGTACCTCACCAACCAAAAGCAAGTTTCTGATTCATTACTCTTTTGCTATTTATTTTACTAAGTGTATAGAAGAGAAGAAGATGTGGAAAAATGTTGAAAACTTGTATGCAGGGAAATCGGGGATTTTATAGGTTTTACAGGTGCCACCATCAACTAAAAATAAGCAACTACAAAGTATGTGTGTGTAAGACCTTCTTATATCTTAAATGGGACTTTATTGGCATGGAAAACAGATGTTAACATTGTCAAAGCTAGTGTGATACAAAACCAGAAGAATTGTGAATTTTTTTTTTCTATTAAAAAATACAAATAATTGAGAACTATATAAACACTGCAACCTTTTTTTAAGTGTGTGTGTGTGTATGTGTGCGCGTGTGTGCGTGCTGTGTGTCTAGGTCAAGCTTTGTTCTAAAATGAAAAATGGACAGGGGGTTGGTTCTACTGTCACTGGTGTCATCATGGGATTAATGATGCGTGGTTTGAACTTGGTGTTATTCTTCTTGATCATGAGCTACTAACCTACCTGACCATATTCTTGTAATTCTAATAGAAACTCCAATAGTAAGACTGATCGAAGGAATAGGAAATTCAAGGAGGCAGAGCGTTTATTCAGCAAGTCTTCTGTCACATCAGTTGCAGTAAGTCCCTCCCTCATTGGACTTTTTCCCACAATATATAGGTGCACATCTGCTGCATGATAAGAAAATAACTTCTAATGCAACTGCGCTCTCTGTTTTGAATGGCAGGCGGTATGTGCACTCGGTGGGATTCCTGATCATATGAATGAAAAACGTGAGTTGAATGTGTAACTTTGTCTAGCCAAGCAGTGTTGGAAAAGTTTCTCTTTATAGTCTTTAGTTTCTGAGTTTGTGCTGTCGTTTGGCCCCTGTCAGGTGAGGCGGGCAGTGGCACAGAAAGTGACGGCTCTCCAGATCTCCAGAACCAAGAGAACGAGCCCAGTCAGGAGGACACAGAAGATGTGGACTCAACGCTGCAGGACCTAAAGCCTCAGAAGGCTGCCTCATCTTCCTCCTCAGGCAGCCATCATGCTAGCCACAAGAAGAGGAAGAACAAAAATAGACACAGGTACACAATCAAGATACAAGATGTAGTGTGTCAGCTTCCTGTTTAATATCTCCTTTTTTCTGATTGTGCTATTAATTGACTTCCAATTAACGGATTTATTGATTTTAAGGAACCGATTTAAGGTCTGCTAATATGATCAGTATGTTTACATGCACACATGAAACCAGTTTACTGAGAGAAAGTGGGGTATGTTGGAAGTTGGTCAACATGTTTACATGTAGTGTAGTAAAATCAGAGACGTTTTATAGGGGAGACACGCCACTCACTCACATCCCCAATACAACTCCCCATAACGGTAAAGATGGCGGTTATCTTGCCCCTCCCGTCCCCATCGTCTGCTTTGAACAGCCAAAGCGGGAAACATATTTCAGCCAATCGTATGATTCCACTGACATAAGAGTCTATTTTACTTCGACTGCACTTAAAACACTGGATCCCAGTAGCTCCTGATGGGCCAGTGTCTTGTATGGTAGCTTGCTGTGTGTGGGTGTATATGGGTGAATGAGAGGAAAATTGTCACGTCATTTGGATAAAAGCACTTTATATACGCAGTTTATTTCTGTAATTTATTTATTTCCTTGCATCCTGCTGTCAAAGCAATGCTTTCCTTGTTTGAAGTCTTTGTCATGGTTGGTCAAGCCTGTTAGAACCCAGATACACTTATACATGCCAAGAAATAATTTTCTCTTGGAGAAATCTGGCTGGGGAGTGTTTTGTTACTGTACTCTGCAAAACCAATTATGGACTGAAAGTTTCTTGTATATATTCTTAGACATCTGAGAATAACCTGATTAGATAAAGCAGTGGTTCCCGATGTTTTTGGCTTGTGACCCCCATGAATATTCCTTATGAAGTTGTTTCATTTTTAGATGGATTTTTAGAGACCTGTAAAGGTATCAAGTATTTTACAAGAAAAAGCCAGAATTGGAGAATAGTCTGGAAAACTAAATATAATTTTGTGTAAGAGAAATATGATGTTGTGGCCAAAATATAAGATGACCCTAATTATAAATGTTGATACGTTTTTGGAAAAAGACTAGTCCTGGTGGGAAAGTTTCCTTGAGATGCTCTTGGTCTAAGAAGAAGGTAGCCCTCATCCCGTTTCTCTTGTTAAAGTAAAAGGAATATCTAATCTAGGGCTGAAAGTAAGCCGCAGACCTCAGCTGAAAATGTACACACGTGCGTTTGTTGTTCTCCTGGTTGGGCTGTGAGTTTGGGTTGTAACATCACAGTCATCACTTCACTGGGTGTCGGGGAGCTGCACCTTTAGTATAACTTGTATAGCACTCAGCTGATGTTTGTGTTGGTCTGTTGATGTTGTTGGTCAGATGTTTGCTGTATGACCACCGCTGCCGCCAAGCAAAATTATTTCTTAAACAATGCATCGATGAATCAATGAAATAATCTGTAGAAGCTTCGAGTACTAAAATCATTGTTAGCTGCAGCCCTGATCTAATGTGAAATTGTAAATGTAATATGTAATGTAAAAAAACAATCTTTTTCTTATTTCCTCAGGCCAATGCAGTAAGTTTTTTTCTTTCACATATCGTTCATCTGCTTGGGAACCACCTTTTATTTTGGCACCTAGTTAAACACTGTGCATGTAAACGTACTGATTGTGTATTGGTAAGTCTAGTTTTGTCATAAGGGTCAATGTAGATGGATTGGGTGAACACTTACCAAATTACTGGTTTGTTAAGTAGAAGTGTTTACACTAATACAATACAATGAAGATTTAATAAGTTGCTTTGCAGTGTTTAATGTTGTGTTACCCACCTCTTTAATGTCAACCTGTTTTTCCTGACTCAGGCTTCACTGTTCTAACCACACATTAACACAGCGGGTGCTTCACCTAACACACTGTGAAGAAGGGGTTCTCTCATTGTAAAGTCTGGACTGCAGTATTTTGTTAGACGTAGGGCTTTAGACTCAGGTTGGTGAACTAACAGCTGCTGCTCTTTCTTCCTTCCCCTAATGCTGCCCCCCAGCCCTTCTGCCATGTTTGATTATGACTTTGAGTAAGTCTGAATTTTATTTCCTGCTCCTGTGGTGTGAACATCCTGCCTGCTGTAAACCCCATCCTCGACTTTTCCACCGTTTTCCCTGCCCTCTGCCTGCTTCTGTTGGCCTAGAGTTTGAGCTTAAGCCTTCTAGTCGTTCAGTCATACTGCATGTACAACACTTCATTCTTTAATTTTGAATCCATATCTGCATCCAGCACTCTGAACTCCCATTAGATATTCTTGCTTGTTACTGGGGTATTTTCATATCTTTCTGATCTCAGACTCATTTCATGTGTGCTTCCCCATTTCCAGCAATTGAATAAAACATCGCTGGTGGGGGCTGGTTTGGCTACAAACAAGAACAGACACACGGCCTTTTGGCGTTCTTGTTATGGGCTTGTTTTTAGGTGTCTTCATAATCTGTTAGTATCTAATACAGCCTTACTTTGTTTTTGTTGCAGATTTGACATGAAGGTTAACAAGAAGCCGAGAGCTGTAAGTTCTTTTGCTTTATTTTAGAAGCTGGGAACAGCCAATTTTTGCCATTTTTGCTTAAAAACTACTCAAACAATTACTCGGTTATCAAAATAGTTGCTGACAAATTTTCTGACCATTGATTAATCAATTTTTCATTGCAGTCCTCCTGACTGTGATCTCTGTCTTTACTTCAGTAAATGTTCTCATTCCTTGTCCTGCAGGATTATTCAACTTAACAAGGATGACTGGAACACCGGGACACACATGAAGACATACATATGTGTAAAGAAACACAAGATTTCTGGACTTTTATGCCTTTTGATTTTCGGTTGTCATATTTCAGCCTGTACTGTGTGTATTGCTTGAAACATTCCCCTGCCACCTACCTTTGGTCGTGGTTAAGATGTTTGACCTACCAATTAAGTAGATATATGGTGTTGCATGTTACTTGAGCCCTGATGAGGCCCACCTCCAGTAACACACCATCTTGTATAGTGTTAAAAAAGATTGTATTTATTATGTAGTTAATTTCCATGTTTCCCATTGTCAGAAAGTTGTTTTTTTTGTTAAATGTCACATGGTCGTGTAACATTTGTAAACCCCGGATTCTTTTATTACATGGATTGTTTTTCAAAAAAATAAAATACCAGTAACATGAACATATTTTGGTTGTGTATTAAAATGTCTATAGTTGTTAGTGAAGGCAGTGCTTTGCATCAATCATCACAGCAGTTAAGGAACCGTTGGATCTTGTGAAGTAGCTGATAACTCATCGCTGGCTTTAATAATCGCCCTACAGCTTTGTAGTTTATTGTGTCGATCACTGGCAGATGGATGCCAGTGAAACATTGAAATTCCCCCACACATGTGGTTCATAAAAAGTTATATTATGGAAGAACATTTTCTTGTTATAAGAGGCCAAGTTTTATCAGTGTTTACCTAACTAATATAGAGAATATCCAGCGCATTCCCTTCTGACAGTTGTTTGTTTTATGATATTAGTTAGTTGGGTAAACAGGCGTCCCAGAGCACAAGCTGATGACAGCACCATGCTATTTACACAATGTCGCCTGGCTTTTGTCATAAAGTGAAGTATCTCATGCTGGTTTAACAAATAGATGATTTAAACACTCTGAGTTCTTTCTTTTTATAGTATTTGGTTAACTATTGGGTGAAAGTTAAAGCTTATACATTTTTAATCTACATGTAATTGGCATGCAGTATACCAATTTTTCACTAGGCTGCGCCAGAACACATAGTTTGCTGTGCTGTAAATAATATGCATATACCAACATAGAAGGTTTGATACTTGTCATGTTTATGTTCATTCACTTGTTCAGCTTGGACTTCAATACCCGCAGTCAAGATTGTGCAAATCCTACACAATAATTTGTTTAATTATTTAATGTATTTGGACAAACAAACTTTAACCATTAATAGTTACAAAAAATTGGAACTGTAGTGACTATAGACAATACAGTAATGATAATATAACGTCATTTATAGCACACTTAATACAAAAAGATGCAATACAGTGTTTTTCACACACATTTAAGTGTTGAAACAAGACAAAGTATCTTAGTATTTCTTCTGACGTTTTGGGGAAGTTTCCTTTCGTACTGCTAGTTAACAAAATTGTTAGCTTAGGTTAGCATTAAGACTGGAAAGAGCTGGAGTAGTTATCCAAGGAAGGTTCAAATCAACCACAACAGGACTTGTTTGAAGATACTCAAAGATGTTTGTCTCTTATCCGAGAGACTTCTTGAGTTCTGATGGACTGGTAGAGAAACTCAGCTATTTAACCTCTATGGGGTCGTTATTAATTTGATCGACACCGTTTGTTCGTTAGTGCTCCTGGCTGTTGTAACGACAGTCAGTCATTAAGGTCGTTGGAGACACCCGAGGCCAAATCTGAACAACCATCACTGAGTTTCCCTATGAGAACTGAAGAAGTCTCTTGGATGAGAGATGAAACATGTTTGAGTATCTTCAACCAAGTCCAGTTGCCCTTGATTTGAACCTTAGATAACTGACCTGGATCACTGAGAACCTTCACAGACACCTCGACTAGTTATCTCCAAAGGTGTAGGTCAAGACATAAAACAGCACATCACTCCCGTATAAAACCACAACTTGTTTTTACATATCTGTTAGTGTAGATCACATGACTGAGTTTCAGAGGTGCTGTTTGGTGAAGTTTTGACCTTTTGACAAGGTTAGCTGTTTCCCCCTGCTTCCAGTCTAGCATTATATGCAAAGCTAAGGTAACAACTTGCTGGCTGTTTCATATTTAACTTTGAGAGTGGTCTCAGCAAGAAAGCAAGCGAGTATAATTCCCAAAATGTCTGACTTTTCCTTTATGGCTGTTGTACTGAGCCATTGCTTTATCCTTCTCTATTTGGATTTAAAAAAACACACATTTTAAAGTTCCCCCATAAAGTAACTCAAAACCTGAAGGATTTGAACTTTGCAGTGACTAGCACATTAGTCACAACTGGCCTAAAACATCACCACATGGGGGATGGAGACGGGCGTCCTGAGGAACCAGAGCTGCTGACAAACATATATGATGGAGAGACTGACTGGAAAGAGTTCATCCCTGGAATGCACTCCTTGGTTTCATGCTGCTCCACCACTGCTCTGTCCCGGAGTCACATTTCATCTGGTAGGAATCACACAATGTTTTTTACTGCTGTATTTCTCTAGAAGGCAGCATTATGCCTGTCCAGATGTATTGGTGCACCACTTTGGTCCAGACTTTAGTATTGCAACATCTACTGGATGTCCTGTAGTGAAATTTTGCACAGACATTCATGGTTCCTTTAAACCCTAATGTTGATCTCATTCACTGTATATAGGGTCTATTGGTGAACTTGTACTTTGACGACAGTGAAGTTGATTTGATCTGAATATGGTCCCCATAAGATGAATCCTGCTGACTTTGGAGATCCCCTGGCCTTTCAAGTGAGCACGACCTGAAAGTTTTTAGTCATTGAAATATTTTAACCCCTAGATGGATTCACAAAAAAACTTTGTCCATTCATGGTCCAAGACAATGTCTCTTAATGACTTGACCATGTGGTTAAAATTTCATTTTGTCTTTGACTTTGGTTTATGACCAAATAACTAAAAACTAATGACTAATGACATTCCCATTAGCCTCAGCTGTACCTTATGTTCATTGCTAATCAGCAAATGTTACCATGATGGTATAAACGGTATACCTGCCTAATCCAAGTAGGTCTGTCTGCCCCTCCACAGTACTACAGGACACACCTACTACATAAAAGGTTGCAGTTCGTTAGGTTTAGGCCCAAAAACGTCTTTGTTTGGTTTGGGTACAGGAAAACATCATGGGTTTGGGTTAAAATAAGTACGTTAATCCAAGAAGTTATCTCTTAGTTATCTCACAAGTTATAGGCTTTGTCGTGTGGTAGCTTCAAGTACAGCCTCACAGTGGCACCAACATGGCTGTAGACTCTTAGTCTTGCTCAGTGCTAGTTGCGTGGTTTTTGGTGGGGTTGGTCTACCACTTTGGTATGAAATATATGACTATTGGAATAATTTCTGTGAAACTGTGTACAGACATTTGTGATTCCCGGAGGATACATCGTAATGAATTTGATGGTCCTCTGACTTTTCCTGTAGTGTCGCCATGAAGTTCACGTTATCACATCATTTTTAGTAAAACACCTCAACAACTATTTGCTGGGCTGATGAAAATTAATGTTCCCCTCAGGTTAAATTGTAAAAGCTTTGGTGATCCCTTAACTTTTTCATCTTGCGTCATCAAAACTTTTAATTTGTCCAATACTTTGGTTTGTGACTAAATGTCTGTAAACTCATGGCATTAGCATCAGCTGTAGTATGTGTTTATTACAAATTAGCAAATGTTAGTATGCCAACATGCTAAACTAAGATGTTAACCATGGTACTCATTAAACCTGCTAAACATCAACATATTAGCATTGTTATAATGAGTGTGTTAGGATGCTGACATTAGCATTTAGCTCAGCATGGCTGTAGATTATAATGTATATCCTTTTGAAGGGTGTTGTGAGTGCTTTATCCGTCTAACTTTACAAGTAAATTTCACTGCAGCCTTCTTTCTTTTTTTTCCACCTGGGTTGGTGAGTCATAACTAATGAAGGTGCATTAAGCATTAACACAGGTTTGGAGACATACTGCACATTTTTCTCCCAGTGGTATTATTCCCTCGTCTCCGCCCATGTCTACTTCAGCCATCTAACACATTGATACTGTAAAGACTGTGGCTGAGACCAGGTTACATGTCAGCCAGTGACTCAGTCACAAGACACATTCAAACTGCTCAACTGCTACGTAATGCAGTCTGGCTGGAAACTCACACCAGAATACATTCCACACGTTTAACTTTGGGGTGTGTGAGTAATGAAGCATGGATGTACAACAGCAAATCTTTGTTTCATTTCCTGTAACTTTGGGAAATTATCTGGAAAGAACTGACCTAGGCAGAACTTTAATTGAGCTATTGAGATCCAAACAGGATTCCTTAAGTTAAACTTAAATGACTCAACTGTAAGGCATTTAGGCTTTTCTCATACTTTTGAGTCCAAATTTGCAATTTACAACCAATTAGGAAAGTGCAAATTGCAGTATAGGTATTAAAAGAATCTGGTTTGCTCCCAAATGCTCTTGAGTTTGACTCTTAACATGCAAATGTTTCATTTAAGATGTCCAAATGTGGATCGCCACAGCTCTCCTGGGAATGAATGATCTTGTGGTGTTGTTGTAAACCAGCATGTGTGTTCAGTCAAGTGTCAGTCCCACTGTGAAAAAAAACAGTTGCTTTGAATAATGGTTCCCTCAGCAGAAAGTGAAGTATTGCAAACAACTTCATTTCAACCCTGCTGACCTTTACTGGAAAAGGAGCTTTTCTGATCTGCTGTGTTGTTTGTCATTTCTTGGGGTGGTGTTACAGCTCCCTGATAAAGGCCAGTCAGACTTTGATAAAACATTGGAGTTGTGTTTATATACAGTTGAGAGATAGATTCTTAAAAAGTGACTTGGGTGTTTTAGGACCTCAAACATATATTTACTATGTAGCTTAATATTGTTTGTTGCACCTGTTGTAGATTCTAAAGCCCATTTTATGTATAGTCAGTTTTGTTTAATTATCTGAGACTTGTCCTCTTTTCCAGTTAGTTCTAGTACACTAAGGAAGGCGCTTTTGTATTTATTGCTGATAATCAGTAAGTGCTGTCTATAGAAAAGGAAGATATTGTTGGTTTGGACATAAGCATCTGTGGTATAATGTTGTTTTGCTAGTCTATACACTCACCTAAAGGATTATTAGGAACACCATACTAATACTGTGTTTGACCCCTTTCGCCTTCAGAACTGCCTTAATTCTATGTGGCATTGATTCAACAAGGTGCTGAAAGCATTCTTTAGAAATGTTGGCCCATATTGATAGGATAGCATCTTGCAGTTGATGGAGATTTGTGGGATGCACATCCAGGGCACGAAGCTTCCGTTCCACCACATCCCAAAGATGCTCTATTGGGTTGAGATCTGGTGACTGTGGGGGCCATTTTAGTACAGTGAACTCATTGTCATGTTCAAGAAACCAATTTGAAATGATTCGAGCTTTGTGACATGGTGCATTATCCTGCTGGAAGTAG